GTGCTATTGAATGTCAAGCTGAAGAATGATGAGTAATTAAATATAAAGATGTAAAATGTAGAGATGTAGAATTTAGAACGTTGGGATGTGACTGTGGAATGATGGAATGTAGAACTATAGAATGTAGATTTGTAGAAATTTAGAGTGTAGAAATGTAGATAATAGAATGTAGAACTGTAGAGTATAGAATTGTAAAAGTCTGGAATGTAGAGCTGTAGAATGGGGAATTGTTGGATTTGAATTAACTGAAACTAAATTGGAATTAATTGTAGTAACAGTTGCTCGAAAAACTTCTATGTAAATTTTGAAACAATGCTTCAATTTGATTAATTAAATATCTTTTTAGACAATCCTTCACACAGGAAATATAAGTTTTAATATTGTCAAAGTTCTCATTAAAAATTGCAAAGTTCTCTATTGAAAACTTTATTTAAAGTTATATGCATGCATTAGTTTAAAATGTAAAAACAACACACGAATGCAAATATTGTAAAAATGACATAAAAAATTAATATTAATACAAATATAAATATAATATTTAAAATATTGTGCATAAGTATAAAAATAAGGAAACATAATTATTGTAAATATGACAACAAAAAATATGACGACAAAAAATATGACAACAAAAAATATGACAATAAAAAGTTATAAATATTTAAAAAAGGACAAGGCTTGCAATAAAAATAAATGAAATTAATTTATAAATATTGAAAACACAGCTTTTTCCATTTCAATTTTTTTTTTTTGAAAATTTGTAGGGCATTTTGTTTTCAAAGGGAAATCCAAAGCGAGGTGGCACTTTATAAAAATTGTTGATACTCTTCAGAGGTGGATACAGCACTTCCTGATGTTTGAGAACTTCCAGACAAGGAACAAACTCCAAACATCTATATGTATATACTTATACCAAATAAGGATATTTTGAAAAAAATTGCAATGGTAAAATTTGGTCTCTATTGCCCCAAAAAGTGAGAGCAACAACTTGACAAAATATAAATTCTTTTATTGTTCTCAACTAAGTTTATATTCATTGATAAGTTTTAAATTTCATACAATAATCTCTTTTTTTTTTTTTTTTTTTTTTTTTATTATCTTCGCTTCCAACAAGGCTGCAAGCAACCACTAATTAGTGTTGGAAGTTACTGGAAGAGAAAAGATGAAGATTGTAGAGCAAGATAACGATTGACAGACGACTTAAAAGATTGCAAATTATATGAATCAGGAAAGCAAGATGAAGGAAGCGAATTCCAAAGAACTGATGTTTGAGGAAAAAAACTAGACGAATAAGAGTTTTTGGAGCACTTAGGAATAGTAACAGAAAAAGGATGAGACTTAATTGAATGACGAGTAACACCAGAATGAATTTTAGTAGATGGCACAAGAGATGCTAGCTCTTTAGAGCAGTGCCCATTATAGTATTTGTAGAAAAGAGAAAGAGAAGCAACATTACGACGATGTTACAGAGGTTGAAGGTTGGCTGCAAGAGCAGGTCCAACTATGTTTACAATGCGTTTTTGCACCTCGTCTAAAAGAGAAAGGGCATCATTAGAAGATCCGCCCCAGATATGGCAACAGTATTCCATACAAGGCCGGATTTGAGATTTATAGAGATAGAGAATAGAATCCAGAGTAAGAAAGTGACGAGCTCGATAAAGAGAAGCAACTTTAGCAGATGCTAATTTTGCAACGGATTTGATGTAAGGTTTCCAAGAAAGATCAGAAGTAATAGTTAATCCTAGAAGATGAAGGGTAGGAGACTCATCGAGTACATTACCGTTCATAAATATAGGAAGGTCTAAATTATTGCGATAACGATTGGCCGAAAAAAATTGAGTTTTATCTGAATTAAAGTTCACCAGCCACTGTGAGCCCCATGCGTAGGGTAGGTTATGAGATTCGAGATGAGAGATTAAGTGTTTGTTAATTAAAGATTCAAAAACCTTGCTTATGATAGGAAGAAGACTAATGGGACGGTAGTTAGATGAATCAGATCGCTCTCCAGAATTTTTAAAAATAGGGATAACAGATGCTGCTTTCCAGCAGGCTGGAAAACAAGTCTCTGATAAGCACTTGTTAAATAGTTTTGAAAGGATAGACGACAGCTCCGGAGAACACTTCTGCAAGACTATAACAGGTATGTTGTCCGGGCCGCAAGCTGTAGAAGAGTCGAAGCGGGAAATCACTTTAGATACAGAAGCTGGAGTGATATGAATGTCGAGCAATGAATCAACCTGTTTGACGGCTATATCAGGTAGAACGCAACTAGTGGCATCAAGAGATGATATTGATGAAAAGTTCTTGGTAAACAATTCAGCTTTGTCTTTAGGTGAGGTGACAAAGTCTGAACCGTACAAAAGAGGTGGAATTACAGACTTGCCCTTATTATTGATACTATTAAAGATTCTCCAGAAGTCACGAGAGCCTAATTTTTGTGATGAAATACGAGATTTCATGATCTGAGAATAGCGGGCTTTGGCGTTAGACAAAACCTTTTTACAATGGTTCCTAGCAGTAATAAACAGACGTCTGTTTTCTGGAGAATTGGTTTGCTGATAGATATGGAAGTAATGGTTTCGATTAGCAACTGCAGCAGCACAATGTGAGGAAAACCATGGAGAAGAGTGAAACTTGACCTGGAATCGTCGAGAGGGAATAAAGGATTCCATGCCAGCCTGAATCCACGAAGTTATGTAAGAAGCACATTTGTTAACAGGGAGACGAAAGGGATCTACCCAGGGGCCATCACGAAGAAAATCAAGGAAAGAGTCCCAGTCAGCTTTAAGGTAGTTGTAAGATGTACGATGATAGGGGGATTCTGATGGTAAAGAAGAATGAGATAATAGTTTTAGAGAGACTAAACCATGATCAGATGCACCTAAGGGTGAGTGTGAAGAAACTGAGCACTGACTAGGATCAGAAACAAAACATAAGTCGAGTAGAGAAGGGAAATGATTCGGTTTGTCTGGAAAGCGAGTTAAAAAGTTGACTATTTGAGTTAGAGATTGAGAAAGACAAAAGTTGTGGGCCTTAATGCCTGCAGAGTCACTGACACTAGAGCCGAGCCATTCAGTGTGATGAACATTAAAGTCACCAACAACAACAATATTGGCTGATGGAAAAAGAATGAGGGCTTGGTCAATATAATCAGAAATAACATCAAGAAGAGTGCAGTCTTGAGATGAGGGAGAGCGATATAGAACAAAGAGAAAGGTGATAGAGTAAAGTGGTGCTAAACGAAAGCACATAAAAGAGTAGTCTGTGGGTTCAAACTTAGTTTCCCAACAAATAAGTGAATTCTTACAAATGCAAATGCCCACGCCAAGCATGTGACTATTAGAGTCTTTACGAATTAAACGAAGATAACCATCAACACTAAGATCACAAGATGAGACAGCTGAACTCAAATTAGTCTCACAAAGAGCAAGTAGGTCTGGTGAACTTTGCAAGAAATAAGACTCAACAGAAGAAAAGTTACTTGACTCGAAACATAGATAGTACTCAGTACACTGTTTTATAGCTCAAGCAATTGCCTCATTTCCACTAATAAACCCTAAGCCGTAACAAAGGGCTCCAATGTGGCCTTGGCAATGCACACCAAAAGTACAAACAGGGACACCATCCATGCGCAGCATGGCGCTGTTAGTACTCTGATATTTTTCAGCTGTTGATGGAATCAGCCTCTCTGAGAGCTACCACAGAGTTCGGGAAACCTGACTACCAGCCGGCCTCAGAACCATAAAACTGAGTTTTAGAGCTGTACCCTCATTTGGAGATAATAGAATGAGTTGCCTAGTCATAAAAACAGAGACACAAGCAAAACCCATGAATCAAGTTAAGAAGATCCAGCGTTTAACATCTTAAACTGGAAACAATGTATTAAAAATACATCTGCGCCAGCCTAATAGATGAAGAAGGGGTGCGAGCCCAACAGATAGAATCTGTTTACCCCTTAAGTCTTTGCCTAGAAGGCCTTCTACAAGACAGCAGCCGGATGCATGTAACATCTGCCCAAGATGAGTATTTTTATCGAGACACCATCTCTAGCCTTTACTCAACCAAGAGCCCCAAGGCAGGGGGTTTTTTATGTCGGAGTTTGCATCACCTAGACTTTGCCCAAAAAGGCATATTCTACAAGGCAACAGGACATGAAGCAGATTGTACTGGGTTACATGTTACCAGTAGCAGGATAAACCTAACCTGACATTAAATACAATAATCTCTTAGCGTTCAAAAAATAAAAACATTATAAAATTCTTAACCCCCTCAAAAATAGAGTGGGGCTCAAACATTATATAGTTATAGTTTTTTAACCATAAAGTTTTATTGTATGATATATAAAACTTATCGATGAATATAAATTATTTAATTTGAATAATAAATATTTTATCAACCTGTTGCTCTTACGTTTGGGGCAGTTATGGCTAAAATTTTAGGGCTTTTTTGTTCCCAGACTTTAATCATCGGAATATTTTAAAAAGCATACTTATTTGAGATAAGTACAAACATATAAATGTTTGAAGTTTTTAAAGTGCCTAAAAGTTGTTTCAAACCTCAAAGAATGTTGTATCCGCCTCTGCTCTTATAATTAGACTCTTTTGGTTGTAGTATCAGTTTATTACAGCATTGAAATTGAAAGAGTAATTTTTCCATATAAATAAACCCCTCTTAACTTAATGGTTTAAACGATTGAGAGATTCAAAAACATTACTCATTAAAATCTGCTTTTTTGAGATGGACTTTTGGATTATTTTTTGATTTCAAAATATTTTTATTTCAAAATTTTATCTATAAACAAATCAATATAGAACTGACCAATACCATAGTTCTAAACTCAACTCAACTCAACTCAACTTATCAATTCTGTACGATTTTTCGTGTTACTAAGAAAAAATAAAATATATTTGTAGGTTTATTATTAAAATATAAATTGTATTGTGCACTGTACTAAATTTTCTAATTAACGATATTAATTGCTCTTTTATTATTTTTTTTTTTAGAACGAAGATAACTCTCATCTACACTACTAATTTCAAACATTTTAAAAGTCACAGCAGACGAGTTTTTTATTTTCTGGAAACCAAAACCAGTACATCGACTTTGAATCCAGTTTTAGTTCAACTAATAACGCTCTTTTTGTTTTTGTAAGCGTATAGTTCAATAAATAAAGTTTGTAAATGCTATCAATAAATGTACTCTAAAACAATTTACTTTTCTTTATCATTTTTTTGAAAAAAAGTTTAAATAAAAAAAAATGTGAATAACAATATTAAATGAAAAACTGTCATTTCAACTGAACATTATTTTCATTCTGGAAACTTCTGAAATTACCCTATGGAACACTCTGTCGCTACATTTGGAACATTCTGAAAGTGCTTTTTACTTTTTAATTCATAACAAATCCCCTACTAATTTGATAATAAGTAAGCTTTTATAAAATTTTTACTTGTTTTGAGCTTGATTTAAACTATTCAAACAAGTCCATAATTTAACCTAAAATAAAAGTAACTTTGTAAAAAGTAAACTTTTTTGCAAATATGAATATTAATGCCAATTTTCAAATATCAAAAGAGTAGTCAAATAACGTAGTTTTTTGAATATCAAAAGAGTTATCAAATAAGAGATCGTCCATCAGTTACGTAACGCTAATAAACAAAACAAAAAAAAAATCCAAAGTTTTCCATCGCTGAGTCTTAAGATGAATAAAATTTCAAAATAGCTCATAAAGTTTAATGAAAATCGTCGCGTAAAAAAAACTTAAGATCTTTTACTTCTTTTTTAAAAATAAATTTAGCGTTGCGTAATTTCTGGACGACCCTAACGTAATTTTTCGAAATCAAAAGCGTAGTCAAATAACGCAATTTTTCGAATATCAAAAGAGTAGTCAAATTATGGCTTATATTTAGCTCTAGATTGCTAAATTTTCATTCGACTTTTCACATTTTTGGATATAATGCACGCAAAATATCGATAAATCTCCCATAATTAGTTCAAACAAACAAAATGCCACAAAGGGTATTTTAAATATTAGAATTTGTTACAAAGCAATATTAAAATTTTAAAAAACAATGAAATACCTTCAAAAAAAAAAAAAAAATTCCGAGATTTTTTATATTTATCTTGTATGAAACTCTTAATTTACCTTACTTGTGGGTGTTTAATAAATCTGAAATAAAATAAGAAGTTAAACCTCCTTAGGGATTCAATATTCAATAGCAGAATCTTCTCGTCCAAATATCTTAAAACTTTGGCAAAGGAAGGCCCATCAAAACTACCAATATTTAGGCCACGCCTGGTAGGCTCCAGCGATTTTCAACTCTTTTTAGAAAAATTATTTTCCTCAAGTGGGAGTACCTAATTAAACCTTATTTTTTAGACATGTTTGGGTCCTGTAAAAATGGGTAGTTTTACATAAAAGTCATATAATTAGATGAACTTATGGTGGCTTAAACTTAACGCGGTCGTGGCGCAGTGGTTAGAACGCTTGCTTTATAAGCAGGAGATCCAGGTTCAAAACGAGCTTTGTACATATTTCGCGTCACGGTAAGGAAGGAGGGGTGAACGTCCTGGTTAAATGCACTTCCTTGGTGCTTTGTGACAGGACGTTACGTCTTCTTGGAGCGCATAAACAATAAGTTAAAAAAAAAGAAATTTTTAAAAAGCATGGTTGGAATTTACTTAGTTTTATATAAACAGTTTTCAAAAAAATTTTTAGGTATTTTTTAGGTATTTTTTTTATTTAATTTAAAAAAAGAACATTTAACTTTTTAGCTTTAAAACTTAATACAGAAAAAAATAATATTAAACCGAAAGTTTTGGTTTTATTTACGTTTACTTATTTTTAATGACACATTTCTATGTAATTCTTAAAAAATGGCGTATTTAAAGCTGTTTATTTACGTTGATTTTTCAAATTTTTTTTTCAAATAAGATAGAAACTAATTAACTTTATATTTTTTCATTTTTTGAAGAAACTTTAATTTTTAACAAACTATCTACTCCAGCTTGAAGCAACTTAATACCAAAAATAAGATTGCCATATGGTAACCAATGGAAAAGAGGAGATTTAAGATACGGAGATAAGATTAAGGAGATTTAAAGAGGAGATTTTACAATTCAAGGTAAATGAAAAGGAAGTCCCTATTACTTAGTCCACATATTTTTATTGAATAAGGATTTTATGAACTATTAAGTTTTGATAAATTAAATATTTAAAATGGTTTATTTTAAATGTAGAATAAGTTATTTTATATTTTAATATACCATTTTAAAAGACATGCGAAAGATAAAAACTCTATGATTACAATCCATACATTATAATTATATACTATAATTAGTGCTAATTATTCACTTGTATCTAACTAATCATTTGTATCAGTTATCAGTATCACTATCATCGACCAATCATTTGTGGGAACAGAACAAAAGCTATAAACAGGGGAAGATGAATCATACCAACTATACTTTTTTTGTTGAACCTATCTTTTTCAATAAGTCTTTGTTTGATAACAGATACTTATGGAACTCATGACAGGATTATGATTTGAAATTATAATCTATACATAAAATACTTTTAACAGGCTCTGCTGATAATTTCTTTGTGTGTTTTTCTTCACAGTTATCTAAAAGTTAGAAATTTGGTCATAGCAAAATGGTTCATTAACTTAAAAGGGGTATATGATCCAGAAGGGCAAACTTTGCATTCGGCTTCACAATCATTTTTACCCTTTTTAAAACAAGAATACAACACTTTTACTTTTACTTTTTATTTTTTGCCTTAAAATCCTAAGCTCTCCAGGGTAGTCCGGGGATATGGAAAACCTAACCAAAAATTGCTGGTACGTAATGCCTGGTAATAGTTTTCTTTACAAGAAATTCATTTAAATTTTTATTAGTGAAGAAATCAATAGTTTTACGAACATAGTGTTCATAATTATGGTATTCAGGTGGTGGAGTTATGTTGATAATTTCATCAGCCAAATTCGTATCTAGCAGGCATAGATTAGTAATATTTTTATTACATTGCATCTGTATACGAGGTTTGTTATCAAATTAGTATTTTCCAAATTTATCTGCTTGTGATCTGAAAGTCTTTTGAACTCCTTTCTCATACATCACAATAGCGATACAAGTACTTTCCACCGTGAACCTAAATTTTAAAACTCATAGGTATTGCAAATATAAAGTTTACGTAGCAAATCAAGTCAAGGTAAGGAAATTAGGTACTTATAGATAATCCAAGGATAATGTTAATGAGTTTGAAGTCAGAGGCCAAAATAAACTTGGAAATTCACAGATTGTGATGATTCCCTTCTGCATTTTGAACAATGAATGATCACTTTGTTAAATCCGGTGTACTTCTGATTTCTTGGTTGTAAGTTTAATGCTAATTTTTAGAGATCAAACACAAAGATATTACGTTTCAAAGTTACCTAGAATTATAAAAATCAGAAGTTGTAAAGACACATTAAAAAAATTTATTTTCAAGTAAAATCTTGTCCACCGGAAACATATGACTGATTAGTTTCATTTGATTTTTGTTTAGCTCTGAACTCTTTGACATAGCTTAGGCATAAATTTTAGGGCTTTAATTAGGATATTTTGTTCTTTTCTGAGGCGTTGCTAAGGTGAACAATTATTTATATATCTTGAAAAATGCATTTTTATGTACTTAGACAACACAAGGTAGTTATTTCAAATGAAAAAGGATAAAATTTGGAAAAAAAACTCTAAAATCAGAATTTTTTTAGTAGTCTACCTCCTTAAATTAGAAGAATATAAAGATATATCTATCTATAAATACTCCATTTATATGTTTTCATTATTCTGTTGTCGTAATTGATATCATCTTACAGTATTTATTTTTTCATATTTTGGAGTTGTATACGACTATTTCTTGGATATTTACTTAGTTTTACTTTGTATATTTTGGATTTTATATTTATGATATTCGCTTTTTATATATCGATACCATCATTCTATCATTTTACAATGGTTGTTTGTAATTACACCCAGGAGCGATTTTAGAAATAAAATGAGAGGGAAGGGAAAGCGAGTTATTGAAAACTGCCGACAGCTTTCTTAAAAAAAAAAAGGTCCTCAAAACTAAAAACCTGCCGTCTGAAATGGGTAAAATCCAGGCTAATCAACTATCTTCCTGAAAAAACCGGCTTTAAGTTAAGAACCGTCTTCTTTAGGGGTATTCTCCCCCCCCCTCCCGACACAAACACTTTGAAGTCTATTTATTTCTACTTAATAAGTTGATCTCAAACATACTATATATGTTGTAAACACTTTTTTGCTATGTTAATAAACTTCATAACAGAAGAAAAATATATTTGCTTCATCATTTAGAAATATTCTCAAATATGATTGAACAAATAAAACCCTTTCAAAATAGTAATAGTAATAGTAATACAAATTGCTGTAACGACGACTGTCGCGGAGTATAAAGTTTAAAATTTATACTTTAACAGCCGTTAACAAATGTTTATCTAGTCTAGCTTTAAAAGAATTTACTGTCATTGCAGAAACCACTTTTTCAGGTAAAGCATTCCAATGAGGTATCACTCTGTTCGTAAAAAAATTATGTCTCGGTGTTGTTTTTGCAAATTCTCTTTCAAATTTCATTGGATGACCTCGAAGTCTCTGGGAAGAAGCTTTATTAGGCTCTTTATACCATAATATAAAAGAGCAAGACAACATTTAATTTTTATTTAAAACTCAAATTATTGAAAGTTTTAATTTAGATGGATCATTATTAAACATTTTTGAAAACTATTGTTCTTAGAAAGCAAAAAATGCCTGCTGGCCAGTCTTAACTTCAAGGTCACCTGCGCAAAATAAATGTTTACGGAATTTTCATGAAACATTTTTAATAATATTACATTCTAAAATTTTTTAAAAAGTAATAATATTACAATCTAAAAAATTTTAAATGACAAACTATTTATTAGTAACTTTTTAAAAATCATTACTGCAAAACAAGGTTCAGGTGAAATTGTCATAACTAATAAAAATAACAAAACATAATATGAAAAGGTCTAAATATTTTATGAAATATATTAATTTATAATAAATATAATATAAGTGTTTACAAACTATCACGTTTTTCGGAGACTTCACTTTGTAATTTCAAATTATTTTTATTCGTTAATGAAAAAAGTTTTGCAAAATAATTTTTTGCTAAAAGATGTTTTTGCTTCACTTTACCAATAAAAATTCTTCCATATGCCTGAAAACAAAAACCTCTACAAATTAGAATTTGACTTGAAATTTGACAACAAAAATTTCACAATAAAAAAAGATACCTCGAGGGTGTTGTCAAGTTTTAAATGAGCAATAGACTCATCCTTACTTAACAAAACACAGTTCCATGGTGACCAGTGTTTATGCTTATTCCAACGAACTAGAATTAATTCGCTTATTTCACTTACGCCACTGAGAGCACTTTGTGAGTTCCAAATAATCTCTACAAGATACTGCAAGTCTGCATCTTGCATCAAGTAAGGAATTTGCGAACCGTCGTCGAAGGACTCTTCGCTTAAACGTATTTGTAATAACATAAAATGAATTTTAGAAAAATCATGTCTGAGACGAGCAGTATTGTCAAGTTTCACACATTTTGAGCATCGACCTGCAATTCTAAAAATTAAATGCGTAAATATCAAACTAATCAAAAAAAATTTATTTAAATTATATAACAGTTATCAGTTTCGTTTTTTGAAGCTACTTTAACCACAAAAAAAATTGATGCTAATGATCTGACTGATGCATGAGAAAAACAAAATGTGTGCCATCAAATTCAATTGTAGCCAGATCATCGTTTGCTACTCGGGTGTATATATATATATATATATATATATATATATATATATATATATATATATATATATATATATATGTAACAATTAAAAAATGAGACATATGTTAAACTTATTAAAACTTATTAAATAAAAATATGCTTTGAATAGTTTTTAGTAGTCTTCAGTTGGGTCAAAATAAAATTATTTAAACTATAAAATTGAACAATTCTATTTTTTTTTATATAAACTGTTTTTTATCTGTTATCTCCTATTGATAGTACAGCTCTAAAACTCAGTTTAATAATTCTGAGACCGGCTTGTAGTAAGGTTTTCTAAACTCTGTGGAAGCTCTCAGAGAAGGTGATTCCATCAACTGCTGTAAAATATCAGAGTATTAACAGTGCCATTTGCACATGGATTGTGTCCTTGTTAGGCTTTTTGTATGCATTGTTGAGGCCACATAAGAAGTCCTAAATTACAACTTTGGATAAATTAGCAGAACTGAAACAACTGCACAGCCCATCGCTTGGGATGCCATTTTCTATTTATGAATGATTCAGATTCTCTTTGACTTAAACCATACCCAAAGTTACCAAAATATTAAACATCATGTGACTCTTTTATAAAGATTTTTTTTACTTTCCTGTTTTATTAAAGAATAAAGAAAACCTGCTTAAGCAAGTTCTGCCAACAAATTATTCTTATAAACTATGCAGACCTTCCTATGAACTATGAAGGTCGGCATAGTTCTAGTATAGGAAGGTCTCCATAGTTCTAGCATAGGAAGGTTTGGATAGACCTTCCTATGAACTATGACAATTGCAACAGTAACTAAGTATTGTAACTTTAAACTTTTAATAAAATAGTTTATAACATCTATTGTTATAATGTTGCAAAGTTGCATCTCTTTTTTATAAATAATAACTTAGCTGCTTATCAAGCAAGCTATGATATTGTTCAATAAAATTATAATCTTGTTTCGCTTGCATCGCACCTTGCATGACACTCATTCAACATACTCACATCTTTTTGTTTTTAAAAAAACTCTACATACATAAAATGTATGTAAAAAAACTCTACATACATAAAATTAAAGTTTTACTTTAATTATTTATTCTTCAACTTTTTTATATTTAAAAACTTTTATATAAAAGAAGCAAATGTCTATGTGCAAATACAGTACTAAAAATGCATTATTGATCTAGGTACTTTTAAAAAATATGCATGTATATACTGTATATACATGCATATTTTTTATCCAAAAATTTGAGTGTATACTCAAATTTGTGGATAAAAGTAGATTCGGATGAAAATCCAAAAAACATTGACTATTCATAGTTCCAACAGAATCTTGATGATTCAAGTGTGATTCTGTTGGAGAATCAAGACAAGTGGTTGAATTTTTATTGCAAAGTATTGTTTTTATAATCTTGGTTTTAAAATTTGGTTGCCTTTATACCAAGTAATTTTTCAAGACTACCAAAGAGTTGAGTGAAACAAAAACTCCTCAGAGAAAATGAAAACTTTTTAAAAAAATTGTTATGAACAAGCTTTGTTGCTGCATGTATGTGAAATTCAATTAAAAAAAAAGCACAAATTTCATACTTAGGAGCACTAGGAACTAGAATTTTTTTTTGACTTTAGGTAATTAAATCCAAAATATTCTAGTACAAAGTATTCTATAATGGTTTAAAA